ATTATTCACGTACGTAGCTTTTAATATTTTAATAAAAATCATATTTAATATATTTCATAGAGTAGTTTTTACAGAGTAAGATTTCATTTTATTATATCTGTAGCAATGTGACTTTTTCCGAGTTATATAATTATGTACTTTCTAAGATTATCTAGACACCACCGACTAAACGGTGTAGGAAAACATCGTGACCTAGGCTTATTATTTCTAATTATAAGTTTGTAATCGCCAACCCGCATTGAGCAAGAACCCTTCTCAGTGTGAGAAGCGGCTTTGCTCAGCACTGGTCATTCATGGGCTGTTGATGATGATGATGAGTCGAAGAATTATGTAACGTCTAACATCACATACATTAACGAAGAGGGTAGGCATTAGTAGGCACCTATTTTTTTTATTATATAATGCTGAAGAGTTGGCTTGTTATGTTTTTATCAAAACTATCATGAGACATTTTTTGGGACAAGCCCCTCACATCCTCCCAAAACCGTTGCACCTCCTGTAAGCCAGGATCTACAGTAGATACAACCATGAAAACACCGGAACACTGAAGTCCGGTATCGTGAGACATACTAAATTAACTAAAAATCGCGGGTTACTCACGTGGGAAGTACTGAGAAAAGCTCAACAACCCGTTAGAGTTTGACACTCCCTCCCGCCTCACCTAGGCCGGAGAATTATTCGATGATTTTCCCTCCTTAAAAAAAGTATTATGCAGATTGAGCCCGCTTATTTGTGGCGAAGCTTGACTCAAGCAGCAAGAGAATGAGCAAATATCGTGAGCAAAAACGATTTCCATATGAGTAATATACAAAACTATTTTCTACCGTGAGGGTAAGACATTACGGTTATTAAGTACCCAAAAGGGCTACCATAAAGATATACTATAACATAGATATTCAGGCTAGATAATGTAAGTATGAAGGTACTATGGAGGATCCAGGAAACATCTAAAAAAATATTTAAGTACATAGTCTGTGGGAAAAATATAGCCTATTATAATAGACACTCTCTACAGCCATAGCCTCTCAACTATCTTCAGACATAAAGGTCTTATCATAAACTGTGATACCTTTACGACGTGAAAGAAAAACTATCACACAAATACAATAATAAATATATATATAGGTAAATAATTCTTGTTTTTGCATTGAGATGGAAATCCTTATGGAATTTCCAGTCCCACGTCGTAAGGACGACGGGGAAGGGGGGCGTGCCAGACTCTTACCGGCTAAAACCATCGCGGTGTTCCTGCCTTTAGCCATGCACCCTCACCTCATGCACCCTTGCAGATTCAACGCACCCGGCAGGGCTGAACCTACCGCTATGTAGCGGCAAGTCCCACCACGTAGCAGAACCTTGGAGGCTGATTTCCTTACTCGAGTGGCACGCGTTGAACACGACGCTAACGCCTACATACTACGTCTACTGCATACAGCGGACGACTGACTCTTCTGATCAGACACCCGCAGGCCTGCCCTATGGAGGTCGCAGATCAGCTACCACCTCGCGGTATTGACGGCCGGCGCGTCTACGGCGGGAGGGAAGAGAGCTGGATGCTTCCCTCTCCTATATACAGTAACAAATGGTTAAGGATTATATATCTATCCTCTTTTTACAATTGAAGCAAGGAAGGCAACACGGTGGTTAAGTAAAAGTTAAGTAATGCTTTTACTTAACCACCGTGTTAGGCTTACGACGCGATCTTCTCCCGTGCATGCCCAAGTATTACTGGGTTTTAAAAAAAAAACTCAGTAGTAACACAGAGTCTGGTAATGTGCCCGGTATATGGCAACAGGCTCACCCCCTATTACATGGGACTCATAACATAAATAGTGAAAAGCGGGTGTTACTTCTGTGTGCACCTCTGCCTACCCCTTCGGGGATAAAAGGATGATGTTATGTTATGTTATGTTATGTTATATCTGTATTCTACAAAGGCTGCGTCACAACCGCGGTGGCCGGAGAAAATCCCTCCGTGGGTCTTTAGCCGTACAGTTCCTACTAAAATATTTTTCTCAACACGTTTAATTTAATTCGAGTCAGAAATCAAAGCTCTGTGTACAAGATAATTAAGTATATTCTCAGGTCGAGATTTACAAACCTTTACAACTCAATTAGAGTGAACTGAATTTCAGAATTAATGAAATTAATAAGAGGACTGATTCGGGCGAAGGCGCTAAAAATAACACCTTCTAAAGATAACTGATTCGTTGGTTGATTAATTGAAAATGCGATAGTCGAATAACGAGATGAGGTGCGTAATTCTTGGGTTAAGTTAAAATTATTCGGATTTGAGGCTTTTAGTCATTTGTCAATAGTTTCGTCGTCCCTGTCTAATGCCAAGGATACACTAGCGAACAACTGTCTCACGACATGTATTGGCGAGCGAAGCCGGCCGATGTCGCCTAACACATACGTTGATTACGCGCAACTTATGTCCAGATGTCCACAGTAACGTTGATGTTGCCAGAAATGTCGACCAAAGTCCGGCAACGTCGCGCTACTACACCCAACGTCGCTGGCGACACGTGACGCAGGACGTATGTATGTCCCTTCCCATATATCCCCAAGCGGTCACCGGTGACCGCTTTCCACTAACTACATTATAGACCTTATATCCAATGTTTAGAGACTACTTTTGTATGAACAAATTTAGGGGATGATTTTCAACAATCTTCAATAGGTTAAGTTATAAACGTAAGTCAGGCAGGCCACAACTGCAGATACTGAAACTTAGACAAACGTTTTGCACGACTTACGAATCGTGCCTGACACTTCTTGCATGGCAGTAGCACTAGCTGTCATATAACCTCTTGCCTAAAAGGTCGTCGTAATTGTTATCTTATCTTAGACTATTATATAAAGCGCAAGAGTTTGCTTTTTTGTTTGTTTGTTTGAACGCACTAATCTCCGTAACCACAAGTCTGATTTTAATAATTCTTTTTGTGTTGGATAGTGCATTTATCGAGGATGACAATAGGCTATAAAACATCACGCTACGACCAATAGGAGCTGAGCAGAGTTTTAAATTATTTAGAACATAACAAGTTTCTTAAATCATGTAAAATATCGGAGAAAATCTAGTTTTATAATTCTAAAAGGATCAAACCACATAACCAACGTTCACACTTTATTTATAAACACAATACACATCAAGTTACACAAAACCAGTATAAACTGACCTCCGTATACACAGAAAGATCACACAAAGCGAGACCAAGATAAAGTGGTTATGTATAACTTGATCTGTAGCCTTGTCAGTACTAAAATAACTCGATGGAAATACTTCAATGAATTTAAATTTAAACTCGCCAAACGGTATCAAAGAGAAAATACCCCTGTAAGCTGATTTTCTAAGTTGTAACAAATGTTGCTGTAAAACTGACCTTCCAATTTAACGTATAGAGCTGAAAATCTATTAATAGGTTTAGAAAAAAATGTGAAAGAAAAGATTCGATAAAGGGAGAGGAATTTGATCATAATTGAAGGATGACTAATAAAAGTAATATCCAATAGTCTTGCACTTTTATTTTACTTTACTTTAGACAAACATCGTAATAATGTTACACTTCTATAGACGCTGCTGACGCCATGAGTTTTATTAGATCAGTAAGAAAGATAAAGAGCACACGTTATCATATTTTGTATCATAACATTAAGGGGAGAAAATCATCGTGTGACATCTCCCGTCTGGGTGAGGCAGGAGGGAGTGTCAGACTCTTACTGATTAACCCCGGTAACCAGTTAAGTTCTCCGCGGCTCCGTATCGGCATTAGCCCTATTGGACCCCATCCGTGGTGGTCTGATGGCACCACGGACGTCACACAGGTCGTCTAGTCGGATGGCGAGCTACCTATGCTCGCCGTCCGCAGCCCCGCGCTTACGGTGGCCGGAGATCGTCCCGCGATCCCCGACGCCCGGAGTGTCCTTCGCGACGGCTGCGTTGTGAGGAGGAAGCGTTTCGCTGCCTCATGCATCTCATCATATATTACATTGTCTATAACTCAACCTTCCATTTTACTTAACAATAATGATGCTTTGGTGTTACAAGAAGTTTATTAGAAACACCTTGGTTTCATAATTGAAGGCAACTGCTAAACAACATGTCTTAGTTCTATAACTACAATACCTATGTATTGTATGGATTTGGTTATCGATAGGAGCATTATTATAATTTATCAGAAGGGAAACTTTCGAAAATTGTAGGGGCGACTTCTAACATATCAATGAGAGGGTAACCTATCAGTAGATACTAATAATAGTTAATTCTTGGTTTTTGTTTGTTATTACTTTTTAACCGACTTCAAAAAAGGAGGAGGTTCTCAATTCGACCGTATATATGCTTTTTTTTTTTTTTTTATGTTTGTTCGCCGATATCTCCGTTATTTATAAACCGATTTCGATAATTCTTTTTTTGTTGGAAAGGAGATAGTCCCAGAATGGTCCCATGATAAGGAAATCAGGATCTGATGATGGAAGACCAGGGAAACCGAGGGGATCTTTTAAAAATTATAGGGGCGACTAGTGCATTTGTTATTTTTTTTATTAAGTATTAAAAACCATTACCATCTGACAAAGGTCTGGAGTGGATCTGATGATGGAGCCGAGAGCCAGTCGAGGGAACTCCTCAACGGTTAATAGTAGCTACCTTGTGTTTGGGTTTCATTAATTTGTATTGATGAGGACTTTACACCTAGGTGGGGTGTAATTGTCAATAAGGGTCTGATGATGAAGTAGTACGGTAGTTGAGCGAACTCTTCAACGGTTAACAGTAGCTACCTTGTGTTTGGGTTTGATTAATTTGTATTGATGAAGACTTTACACCTAGGTGAGGTGTAATTGTCAATAAGGGTCTGATGATGAAGTAGTACGGTAGTTGAGAGAACTCCTCAACGGTTAACAGTAGCTACCTTGTGTTTGGGTTTGATAAATTGTAATGATGAGGACCATCATCCATGTGGGTTGTGTATAATATAATATTTTAAAGTACTAAACTAAAAAGTATAAAATAAAATTAAAAAACTAAAGATATGCAGTAAATCTGATGATGGAGCCGGAAGACAGTCGTGCGATCTTTTTGACTATTTGGGGTAATAACCTTATGTTTGGGCTTGATTAATTCATATTGATGTGAACTTAGCACCTATATCGGTTGTGACTGTTAGGGTCTGGCCGAATACAAAAGACTCACTGATCACTGGTCACAAATCAAGGGACTGAATTTAAGTTACGTAATCGCGTCATCTCTAGCAATGCTCTTTCGTCGTGTGGCCTACTTAATAATTTATTTGCGTCTAAGTCAGATACAACTATTCCTTCCAAGGTTTTAACACGACTAAGGGCAACATACACTTGTCCTTTGGCAAAATTTTTCTTTCCTAGATCTATGACAGCTTTTTCAAGTGTAGTTCCCTGTAACTTGTGAACCGTGACTGCCCAACTTAAAATCAAAGGTAACATTCGGCGCTCGACATCTCCGTATCCCTTAGTCGCTTGAAATGTTGCAACATTAGGAGTGATCGGTACCCAGCCATTTTCATCTTTAATTCTATTTCCAATCGTTTCATCATCAAATTTAATTAACACACTTTCCGGTAATTCCCCTTCTTCAATTTGGTCTCTCCGAAGAGCAGGCCACTTAAATTGTTTAATTATACCCATTGCGCCATTTACAAGACCATCCGAAACCGATATATTTCGTCTTAGCATGACGCGAGATTCTTTCCCTAACTTTAGCGTTGATAACAAACCGCCACAGTTATTAACATCCCTCGGTATCACGTTGGGTGGTGGCGTCTTTCCATAAGTGGCGACTTCACGAGACTCGTCTACAGCAGTTATGGTGTAGACTTTATGCAGCTTCGAATTTTCTGCAGTCATTAAATCGTTATAGTCGTCCACTTGTTTAACGGTTGGGAAGATTCGCACAGCAACTCCGTCAGCAAACTCCCCCGTCAAAGGTATTCTGCGTCGTTCACATAGCAATTCAAGTTGACTCGTAGTTAATTCTCCTACCCGCAAGTTATTTAGCAAGTCGATGAATTCGGCATCATTTTGCTGGCGCATGTTTATTGTCAGTTCACAAAACGAAAATTGATGCCATAAATTAATTTCAGCTGCAAACCAGGATGGCTGTAAAAAGCACCAGTTTCCTTTGACGGGGGGCAGTTGCAATATATCACCAAACAGTAGTAGGTTGACTCCACCAAATAACCTATCATTGTTTTTGTATTCTTGCAAACGTAAATGTATGATCCGCAAGTTTTCATACGACACCATTGAAATTTCATCAATTATGAGCCAATTGATATAGCGCCATCTACGTCTTTCTTGTTCTAACTTATTTCCACTTAAACGTTTATAGGTCATGGTATTGCCCTTCTCAATAGGAAGCATAAATACAGAATGCAGAGTTTTACCAAATATTTGTCGGGCAGCGACCCCTGTTAATGATGCTACTTCCACAAATTTCGGTTTAAGCAGAGGGTCAACAGTCGGGGCGTAACAACGTACGATGTGCTCTACAAGTAATTTTAACAAGTATGACTTGCCACTGCCAGCACCTCCCGTTATAAAAAGCAGTAATTGATCTTCGGCGCCATTTAAATCAGCTTCAACCGCAACAGAAACCTTTTGGAACAAATTTTGTTGCTGTATATTAAGTCCACGTATAGTATTGATGAATACGTCATTAGGCATCATTACTCTTTCACCATTGTCGTCGCAATTGTCATTAATGTTAATAATTACTTCTTCATCTGCACACAGTAACCGTTCATTGTCAATGGCAAGCGTTTGTCTAGCAGCATTTAACGCAGTTGCTTGAGCTAATGCTTGTTGTATTATTTGCTCGGCATGAGCAAATTCTTCGGAACTAACATTAGCTTGCAAAGGCCGTAATTCAGTTTGCCGTCTCAAAAAACAAGCCTCTGCAGTTTCATTATCTAGTAAAAGGCTATGTTCGTCTCGAAAAGGTAGATGGCATACAAGTAAGCTATAATAATAGCTTTCTTTGTCACTATTTATAGTAAAGTATCTAGTGCGAAGAACTGCGAGCCTATTCCGAATGCGCATTCGAGTGTTGTCTCTTAATTTAATAAAACGCAGGGGCTCACTATGCGTTTCTCTCAATTCCTCGTCGCCATCTTCTTCATTCCACGCTGGATGTGAAACCGTCTCAAAGCGTACAGCAAATTCAGCCAGACTCAGGTTTTCGAGATCATCGGGTCTTTGTACATAGCGGTCAAAAATGTTGTTATAAATTGATGAGTCATTGCCTTCAACTCGTAAAAGCCTAAATCTTTCATTAGGTTTGCAACTGTTAACGAACACAGCCTTCCGTGAACTCATCTTAAGAGGTAAATGACATAATCTAAAAGCACATTCAGGTGCGCTTACCAGACGTTGTGACAATATTGCCATAGCCACCTTGAATAACTGATGCCATACTGTACCCCCTTGCCTCTTAGCCCTAGTAATTGTTTCACGTATTACATCACCACTATCGTGTGGTTCACATTTGCTAACGTATTTCGCAACGTAATAGGAAACAGCAGTAACATTTCCACAAGGTTGCACGTCAATGTTGCCTTCCCATAGCCCTAACAAATCTGCATTATAATTATTAACCATACCTTCAGCAGCTGTTCGTCTAAGGTTACAAAATCGCCCATTATTGGCTAAAGCTTCATCTGGTCCTAAACAAAGAGTATTATCACAAGGTGCCCTTGGAAATCCAAATCGACAGGATTGGTTAGTACGGTTCTTATAGCATGTGCTAGTGTGCTTATGGATTTGTACGTTCTCTACCAATGCTTTCAATGTATCGTTATCTGGATTTAAAGAACAAGAAATCACTTTATCAATAACTGTAATACCTTCTGGAGTGGAAAAATCAGGAAGACCCTCACACCATACTAACATATGAAGGTGTGGGCTACCTCTATTTTGGAACTCGATTCGGTGCCAATAATCCACAACTTTACCCCCTAAGCAGTTATCGTTTAGTTTAATATAATTCATCAGCGCATTTATTCGTAATAAAAATTGCCTGGAAACTACTATTGGATATTTTTGAACTAAATTAAGCTTCATTTCAAATGTAATTTCGTCAATTTCATGAATACTGCGATTATCTGCTATAAGTAATGCTTTTATCATATCTGGCCAATGTAAATCATTGCACGAGAAAGTTAAAAACCACGAAGGAGGCCCTAAAGTTCTTACCATTGCAATCAGTTCGGAACAACATTTTCTCCAATAGGATGCTGAACCTCTGATGTTCCTCATTGTGAGGTGAATATTATCAACAAGACCTTGTGGAGTTTGTTCTCCCTGAGCTTGACGCATTCTACATGACACAGAAATGCTTGACTTTGCTCTGTAATATTCAACAACTGATAAAGCATAAAATAAATAATCGTTTCTATGAAATCGTCTGTCATTAGACATTATTCGGCTCTGAAAGTAATCTAATGGGGTGATAGGTATATTTCTTTCCTCATGGAGTCCATTTTTACCATCTGGGAAAAGAAAATACCAGGCCAGCTCTTCTAGTCGACGCTCTCGTTCAAAATTCAGCGGTGGCGCAGTTTTTCTCTTAATTTCGGCTAATCTCAACTCAGTTACTGAATTTACATTATTGAAATCCACAACACTTTCTAAGGCCGGCACTGTTTCTTCAACACCGCAAAGCATACTGGTAGTCTCTATTAACATTGTAGATTCCAAATTTCGTGGTCGTTGTAACGCATGTTCACCAGCCTGAATTGTAGAGTTTGATATCGGTACGCTATTGTTTGTATTAGGTTCAGGTTGATTGTCAATGCATGATACTAATGTTAAAAAAAGTGCTGTCAATGAATAAACATTTAATGTGTATGGATTAGAAGAATTTTTAACAGTCAAATTCCTACGCAAAACGTTATATAAACTATCAATATTTTTAAATCTCATACAACAAGCTGTTCCGTGTAATGGGGCTTTAAAACCTTTAGCACCACGTGCGTGAGAATCAAACAAAAAATACGTAACAGATTCTAATTCACGTTTGCAATGCACAGCTACTGTTGTGAGATTAGAGGTTATCAAACCATACGAATGTTCATTAAAGAATCTATTCAGAGCATTTTTTAAATTGGGGAAAGAATTTTCGCTGTCGTCATTTACTAAATGACCGTTATAAATAGGTTGCTCATAACCGGTAATGTTGACTTGTTGTCTATTAAATGTTATATATGGCAAAAGTTCTGTAGCTGCTAAATACTCCGAGTTTGAATCATCAATATTAGGTCGAGTTGCTATGCAATCACAATAATATTTGTCACCTATAATCAAAATGTAGTCTATATCACTTTGGCACAATGAGTTTGGATCAATGAGATGAAAAGCCACACAAGAAACTGTTGCAATAGCAGTACATTGTCTGCCCTGAGATTCGGAACTGAATCTAGCATCACCTTGATGATATGAACCACGCAAAATACTTATATCATCATTTAAATGCTTAAAATTGTCAATATTTCTAGTTGGTCTCATTGCTGCTACAGGTTCTTCTTCATGATCGGGTAGTTCACCCGTCACCTGTATTGATTCCGAAATATCAATAGCATTGCTAAAATGAGGTCGAACATCCCTATAAAGAACATTGTTAGACATTAACCAACTTAATGCAATTTTTAATTTATCAATATCAACCACGAATTCTTTAGAACGTTGAATGTTTTCTAAGCTTTCTATAATTAGTATTAATCCAGCCTGGTTTGGGTGAAGTGGTAGTTGTTCGGCTAACTCTACGACATCTTTGGCAAATAAGACTGCTTGACCTTTACACCAATCTTGGCTTAATCGGTTCTGTAATTTTATTATTTTAATAAATGGCACTACTCTGCATAGAAATCTTTTTTCCGTTTCGTTTAAGTCTGCTAATTCATGTGGCACATTTGCAACAACCATATTATTCCAATAGGCTTGAGATGGAATTTTTCGTTTTTTCAAAGTATTAGAGCATCGACAACACGTTATTATCCTATCAGCTGTGATTAATTCTGAAGGTAGTATAGAACTGAATGCTGCCGGGCGTAAATTAATACGCTGTTGTGGATAAAGCATTTTTTTACATATAGCACATGGTAAATCTGCGAAAACATTAATTGCCGCTCGAAATTGTTCAACTCCTAATATACGAGTATTTCTCAAGCGACTTGATACTTGTCTTAGAACAGTCAATCGACTGGCCCTTTCTTCTGGAGTTTCATTAAGTACCCTTAGTGCGGAACTGTTACGTAAGTAACTTAATCGTTGAGATTGTTGTGTAGCAGATTCATTTGATCGTCGCTCTTGAATCAAACGGAGTCGGTGAGCACGGGCTTCATCGGTCTCGTTTGATAAGCGCTCATGGATCAAACTGAGCCGGTGAGCACGGGCTTCATCAGTCTCGTTTGATAAGCGCTCATGGATCAAACTGAGCCGGTGAGTACGGGCTTCATCAGTCTCGTTTGATAAGCGCTCATGGATCAAACTGAGCCGTTGAGTACGGGCTTCATCAGTCTCGTTTGATAAGCGTTCATGGATCAAACTGAGCCGGTGAGTACGATCTTCTTGACTTTCGTTCGTTAGTCTTTTTGATACATAAGCTCTCATAGCCGACAATCTCTTTTTACGTTCCTCTAGTGTTTCATTTTCTCTCTTCTTATTAGCATGTATTTTAATTTTGTCTAATCGTTTCCGTCTATCATCTTTCGTTTCAAGGAATCGACGTCTTCTCATTCGAGAAGCATCCTTGCTTGGTCTACCCATCACTTAAAATTGTGAAATAAAATAACTTTTAACAAAAAAAAAAACCGACTTCAAAAGTAAATAAAAAAGTAAATAAAAAACCAAAAAGCAAAAAATAAATTACTAAATATGCAATTTATAATACTTTTAATTTACTACTTACTATGTAATTAATAAAAAAACTATTATTTTCTTAACTAACTAGTCTAACTACTGCTTGGTTTGAAGTCGGTGCCAAGCGTGATGAATTAAACTAACTTATATAAATACAAAATAATTATACTTGGAATAATCAACATTAAATTCCAGCACAAGCTACGTAGATAAATCAATAAGTCAAAAATAACCAACAAACAAAACTCTAAAACTCTAACTCTAACTGATAAAACTCTTAACCAGAACTAACTACTTCTACCCTATTCTACACTACAATAATATAATATTGGTCTTGAAAAGGACCTTTTAAATGAAAATAGTATGGAGAATGCTCTTTTAATGAATTTCGAATTTCAATGATAATAATTGACAATGAGATATCAGCCACTGCACACGAACAATACTTTTAAACCTCAAGTACGCATCAAATATTTAGAAAACGAATGCAACTGGCGATGAAATGTCAGTTGACCTCATCAAATCATGGAGAATCTTAACACCGCGATTCAGAAAATGACGTCACGCGACAACGCCATCTAGTGAACGTAGTATGCTACATGTTATGACATGTGATATTCCTTTTGCATGACAGATGGTGCTAATTACTATTTTGTTGGTCTGATACAAAGTACATAATACTGTGGGCTGTGGGCACAGTGGCTTGGCACCGACTTCAAACCAAGCAGTAGTTAGACTAGTTAGTTAAGAAAATAATAGTTTTTTTATTAATTACATAGTAAGTAGTAAATTAAAAGTATTATAAATTGCATATTTAGTAATTTATTTTTTGCTTTTTGGTTTTTTATTTACTTTTTTATTTACTTTTGAAGTCGGTTTTTTTTTTTGTTAAAAGTTATTTTTTGATGTCGGTTTTTAAATATACACCAATGTAGTATGGACTACAGACATTTGTAACTTATAGTTAGTTAAGAGTCAGTCAGTAGGAATGTTCATACAATCGTTCTACCCGTTCTATAGTGACTAGTGTGCGTGATTATAAATGCAACAGATGATCTAGTTTTGACACTAATTAACAGGAACTAGATACTCCTATTAAGGTCCGAGTATTTGATACTCATTCGTTATATTATTGCTTAACTACTTAGTTACTGCCTTTTTTAAAGGCGGGATAATCATCCAATGACTTCTCCCGCCTTGATTGAGGTGAGAAAGACTGTTAGATTCTTACTGGCTAAAAATCACCCCGTTCGTTGTCCTGCCTGTCATCAGCCCCACTGGGCAATAGGGCCCAGTACTGGGACAGTATTACTGGCGAACAACGCTTTCATCATCATTTCGGATCTGAGTTATTAAGGTCTAACAAATGTTACAAAGATAGTCGAATGTTGCGTTATTTTTCGTCGTGTGAGTGAGGTTACCGGAGGCTCAATTACCCCCTTCCCCAATTTCCCCAATCCCTGAATCCCCAACGATCTTCAAACTCTTAATCCTCTAAAGGCCGGTAACGTACTTGTAACGCCTCTGGTGTTCCAGTTCCAAATGTCCATGAGCGACGCCGATTGCTTACCATCAGATGATCCGTCTGCAAAGTTACCGGCTTATTCCATAAAAAAAGAAGAGCAAACTTCTCGCTACTTCTTATCACTATACCTAATAACAAATCTCCCTTAAAAATTACTATGTTTTCGGCTTACTCACGTAATTATTGGTCGCAGGTCGCGAAATGCTGCTCATGAATATGAGCCTCTCTCTGGCATGACTTGAAACTAGTCGAGTTCCTCGTCAAATAATTACATGAGTTAGCCGAAAACATAATAATTTATTTAGTATGTCTCATGAAAGTTATAATACAAATCTCCCTTATTATCATTTCAAGCTTATCAGGCATTTAGTTTATCTTCTAAACACCGAAACAAAACAAAATGGACATTATCCCGATTTGCAAAAACAAAACGAGCTTCAGATACTTAGCCCAGAACTTTCCCGTCGTTACAAAGGTAATTTTGAAACAATTAAGAACGTGTTTTTTATAGAAAAAACAGACAGTAAATTTACTCTCAGGGGCGTACAGTAAGCAAAGCACTTTAGAAACATTCTCGTTGCTCACAGATGATTTAATAGGGTATATGCCTAATTTTTATTTTAATGTCCGTCTGGTAGATTATTTCAAATCATTAGACACGTATTTTTTTATTTTCTTACAGAAACGAATACTTCAGACGATTCATTGATTTGAAATGTCGCGTGACGTCACTTCTATGTACATTTTATACGTAGAAATGACGCTTTAGCCCCCACTCCTAAACATTGATTCGTTTTATAGAAGTATTGTTTTATTTTATTACAAAATAAAAAAATACGTGTCTAATATTATTTCATTACCTAACTTACGGACTAATTAGAATTTTAATTTTCATACCCTGTCATCATTCCAATTATGAATTAATTTTCGTTTGAAATGTACAAAGTGTTTATGTATGTTGAGTGTAGAGTGAGCTACATTTATATTACCTTTAGTATGTCCGCTGATGTTTTTTTATGTTTGATAGTGTAACGTTTGCCCACTATCTCGCCTGGTGATTATCGATGATGCGGTTTTCGATGGAGCACGTCGACCCATAACCAACCTATTCACTCGGGCCTTGAAGACATCCAGGTTATACCCTTCAGGAAATACGGACTATGGCGAAGAATTCCACTCCTTAGTAGTACGCACAAGGAAGCTTGATGCGGAGCGCTTGATGCGTGTGGGTGGGACATCTACCATGAATCAGCGTCGATTGTCTTGTGGTACGATGATGTCAATAGAACCGACTAAAGAACTACAGGTTTAATAGAGATAAGGCAGCAACGGTCTCTGATAAACCTGGACCGTTTAAACTAAGACCTCATACCCTAGATCTTGGAGGTAATATTAAAACTCTATTTATGCCGAGGTTAGTTAGTCCAGCAATGGACTGCCAGAAAATTGAAATAGATATCTTTTAAAAACACTATCTCGGTTTCGATTCTCGGGTCGAGCAAAGTATTACCAGGTTTTGAAAAAAATCTCAGAATTATGAAATCTTATGAGTCTCATGTTAGCGCATTGCTATATATCGGGCACAATTCCAAACTCCTTGCTACTACTGTGATTTTTTTATAAAAAAAACCCAGTAATACTTTGCCCGACTCGGGAATCGAACCCGAGACCCGTTGCCCGGCAGCAGCACGTGTGACCTTGGGTCATATTTAAGAAAAATCATCTTCAATTTTTATTACACTTTTTTTATATTTTCACGTTAGTATCAAACACCCGGACATTACCGCGACTGTCACTAGCAGACTAATGACCGAATTCACTGAGTGTCGTTTCCATATTCATGTGGTCTGCATGACTAGTCGTAATTGATAGCGAGAGACCGCCACACGCCGCGCAATATCATTTAGGGGTAGGCAGTAATATAGGGTAGGTTATGGAGAGCGTATGTTGTGTTGTAGGTCATATTGTACGTGTTATTTTAAGGCATAAAGTGACTAACGAGCAGATGGGTCACCTGATGGTAAGCAATCGGCGGCATAACCAGCAGCTGTAGCCAAATGCCACTTAGCGCTTGTCTACATGTAGAATAGAAAACCAAATTATATGGAATTGACACATATTTTGATTTCTACTCTCTCTGTAGACAAGCGCTAAAGTGGCGTTTGGCTAGAGGCCCAGGGAATGTCTAAGTACGTTGCTGGCTTTTTGAGGATTTGGGGATATAAAATAGGGGGAAGAATAAAGTCAAATCTCACATCACACAGCGAAACCCACTCTTGTGAAAAACCGTATGATTATAATAGAAGGTGATCATATTATAATACACTCAACACAACTGTGAAAAGTGGGTGTTAAGATTAAGATATAAAGATAAAGATATATTTATTTATATAAACATTTGTGGGTAACATTATACATATCAATGCAAATGCAGATGATAAAATAAACACTGTAACGTCTCAACATGTTTTGCCACAATTGGCGTACAAAATAATTATAAAATTTATAAATCTATTAAAGAGACAACTAAAGTTAAAACATATGAAACAATGAACTTATAAATTACATTGTTACATTGTACACTGACATAATGTGCAGCACCTCTGCCTACACCTTCGGGGATTAAAGCCGTGATGTTATGTTATGATGTTATGTCAACACAACTGTTAAAGATCGTGTTTCTAAGAAAACATTTTTGAAGTCATTATTCAGTAGAATACCAGTGCAAGGCCCTGTCTCGCACATGCTGAACTTTTTTTTTTCTATATTTGATGGGGCGACGTTTGACCACTATCTCACCTGATGGTAAGCGATGGAGCACCTCGTCCCATAAGCAACCTATTCACTCGGGCCTTGAAGACTCCCAGGTTATACCCTTCAGGAAATACAGACTCTGGCAAAGAATTCCACTCTTTAGCAGTACGCACAAGGAAGCTTGAAGCTAAGCGCTTCGTGCGTGTGGGCGGAACATCTACCATGAATCGGTGACGCTTCGCGGATTGTCTTGTGGTACGATGATGGAAAGGACTAGGGGGAAT